GAGGGAAGTTTGTGTTAAACCAAGCAAGATGCCTGCAGTATATGCCACTACTGACATATCCGGACGTTGTCATAAAGAGGTGTACCACGACAAACCCTGCTAACAGTGTTCCCTTTGAGTTCGAAGGAGAACCACATTGCTGCATAGCTGAGGTATCTAGATACACTAAGCTAAGGCCTGATTTGGAATCTACTCCTTTCGATCAATCTAATGTCACCTATTTTGTTGATGGTTCATGTTTTAGAGACTACTTAGGAAACCATGCAGCGTTTGCTGTTGTGGAAAAAGTAGATGACAGATTTGAAACAGTAAAAGCTGAAAAGTGTAACCAACCCTGTTCTGCACAGCTAGCGGAACTCAAAGCCCTGACCGAAGCTTGCAAGTTGGCAAGTGGCCAGGTAGCAACTATCTACACTGACTCTGCATACGCACATGGTGTTTGTCACCTGTTTGGAAGTGTGTGGAGGCAAAGAGGTTTTAAGAAGACGGACGGCACACCCATCCTTCATGGAAAGCAGATCAACGAGCTGATCTCAGCAATGATGCTTCCATCGAAACTGGCCATTGTAAAATGCCCTGCACACCGCAAGGGTAACTGCGATGTCATCAGAGGCAACAATGCAGCAGATGAGGCGGCAAAATCTGCCTCCAGGTGTGAAGAAGCCATTTTGACACCTGTAATATCATTAGAACCTGTAATAACACCAGAAGACATCATTTTGATTCAGGAAAAGGCAGAGAAAAGCGAGCAGCAGTGTTGGAGAAAAAGAGGTGCAACAATGGACTCAAGCGGCTTGTGGAGGTCTCATGAGGGCTTGATCGTTGCACCTGTCTCCCTGCTGACAATGCTAATCTCAGAGAGCCACGGTCCTGATCATTGTGGTCGTACAGAGGTTCTGAAAAGACTTAACAAACAAGGTTACTGGTCACCCTACCTAAAAGCCATGGTTGAGGAAGTAATAGATCAGTGTGACATTTGTGCTGAGAACAATGTAAAAAAGGGCATCACAGTCCCAGCGGGACACATTCCAGTGCCCGAAGGTCCTTTCAAACATTTGGTCATTGACTATGTTGACATGATTAAGTCTGTGCATGGGAAGCGGTACATGTTGGTGATCATTGACAGATTCAGTCGGTGGATCGAAGCCGTTCCCTCCAAAGATCTAGGTTCAGAAACAGTGGTAAAGTTTCTAGTCAGAGAAGTGATTCCTCGCTTTGGTATCCCGTCGGAAATAAGCTCGGACAATGGTCCTGCTTTTGTTGAAAAAGTCCTTAAAGGTGTGTTGCAACAACTAAGGATAAAGCAACGATTAGGATCAGTTTATCACCCCCAGAGCCAAGGAATGGTCGAGCGAGCGAATCTGACGTTGAAGTCTAAAATCTGCAAAATCTGTGCTTGTACTAACCTTAACTGGGTTGATGCATTGCCGCTTGCCTTAATGAGCTATCGCATGCAAACTAACAGAAGCACGCATCTTTCACCTCATGAGGTCCTAACAGGCAGGCCAATGCCAGCTCCTCAGCTCAGAGGACCCCACAAGGGGCCTTCACTGGAGCAGCTAGAGCTTGAATTCAAAAGCTACATCAAGCAACTAACCAGCATCCATAAAGCCATCTATTTGCAGGAAAAGAGAAAGGAGCTCGTCTCTAGCGCAGGCGCAGACGGGCCAGTAGTTCCTGGAGACCAGGTGTACATCAAAGTTTTCAGGAGGAAGTGGCACGAACCGCGGCGAGAGGGTCCCTACAAAGTGGTTCGAGCAACGCCAACGGCAGTCCAGGTCGAAGGAGGATCGACGTGGCATCATCTGACACACTGCACGAAAGTCAAAGACAAAACTCAGGGCAGTATTGTGTCTGACGTAACAAACCGGCATGATGGCCGAGGAAAAGAAGGGCGTGCTAAGCCTGATAACAGTTCTGTTTTGGATGACACTAGGGGGTCTGATGGTGGTGCTGGAGGAGGTGAAGATGGAGACGATGGCCGAGGAGCAGATCGTCGACCCATCACAAGAGCATACGCTAGACGACTTGGTCAACGACGAGGCAGCACACCGTGATCAAGTTAAGTACAATCCAGCAGGCCGGATGCAACATAGGTCAGCATCCTTGCCTGCATTCGACGTAGCAGTTGTTAAAACTGGTGTTACAACCACGATTCCAAATAATGTTTTGACCACAATTAAGATAAACAAAATCCCTGACAGTGTGACCACAGTTCCAAATAATGTTTTAACTACTAGCGCTACTACTACTACTACTGTAATCCCTGATGTTTTGACTACCACAGCTCCTGTTGAAGAGGGGAGGTCCGACTGGAGCTCTTCCTCTCACTTACAGCTAGTGACTCCACTGATTTTAAGACCTGAAACAACGCCAGTTAGCAAGTTAAGAAGTGTAACTACTAAGCCACCTGTTAGTACTACAACTCCCACAGGAGATGTAGCTGTGAAATCTGATTTTCCCACAGAAGCCTCTGGTAGTAACCATGTTTGTAATCTTACTCAGCAAGGCCAAAATGAACAAGAAGTGACCAATCGCAAAGCTGTGCTTAAGCCACTATTTGGGCCGATTAGACCTAGGCCCGGGAGTAACACAGGACCTATCTCCCCTAGAGCGGGCAGACCATTGCCGATAGAGGATAGGCTTTGGGATGCCGCCATGCAAAATAGTTGGTATAAATGGGCTTTGTATACGACGAGAGAAATGACTCCTAATGACTGCATAGTGTGCGCTCAAGCACCTGGAATGTTACCTGAGGTTGTTCCAGAAAAATATACTTCTAGTGAATGTGCCATTACACAACGACGCACTTGTAAGACTAGAAAGGAAATAGAGATAAATAAAAAGATTCCACCTATTCTTAAGTTGCCATTGTGCGGATTCCACTGCAGATTGCTCCATGGTACACGAGATAAGCACAAATATGTTAAAAAATATGCAGAATATAACATCTTAGAGGAATGTGCTGAATTTGCGATCCAAACAGACCAAAATGGTCCTCCAACGGACTACAAAATTGATTATAGTGCTGATTATGAATGTTTTGCAAGTGGAGGTTTCGCTGACAATGGAGGAGTGGACGTAGGTAATACATCTGTCAACTGTAACGTCACTTGGGTATTATCCTGGTTCCCGCATGCAAATATGACGCCACTTCTCATTGATACCCCTGTTTGGTATGAAAACCCTGTAACTCTTAGTCAGGACTGTGATAACATATCGATGACGATCCCCACTCTGGATCTCATAGGTGAGCAAGACATTCCAGTGGCCGACAGCTACTGGATGTGTGGTGGTGATGTTTTAATGAATGTTTTGCCAAGTTTTTGGGTTGGGTTGTGTACGCTAGTACGTATGAAAGTTCCAGTGACTATCTTACATGAAGGTGTGAGTGAATTACTTCAGTTGGAGACTACCAATAGACGTAGGACAAAGAGGTATGATGTGTTTGATCATAAAGTGCATTTAAACGCCATAGGACTGCCAACAGGAATTCCCATAGAATTTCAAGCAAGAGATGAGGTAGTAGCTGGTTTAGAGTCAATTCTTCCTTGGATAACAATAAATAAGAATGTGAAATGGATCAACTATGTTTATTTTAATCAGCAAAGAATCTTAAATTACACAGTAAATAACCTTGGCCTCTTGGGTGAACAACTTCATGCCACAGTCAAGATGACTTTGCAGCATGACCAGGCTTTGGACTGGTTGCTGGCCGAGAAAGGTGGGCTCTGTAAGTTTCTGAACTCCAGTGGGCAAGAATGTTGCACCTACATTCCAAGTAATACGGCCCCTGATGGTGCATTTACTGAAGGAATGAGGAAATTGAAAGATTTAAAGATAGAGCTGAAGGAGAATGCAGGCAGGGAAAGCTGGTCCTTAGACTCCTTAGCCCTCAAATTGGGTCAGTGGGGAGCTATTTTGGTAAAAGCAGGAATTAGTGCAATAGTAGTACTAATTCTGATTTCTCTATTGGCATGTTGCATCCTACCTGTTGTGAGGAGACTGTGGGAGCGAACTCTGGCTGCCCAAATGAACCTTGCTGCGTCGTCTCAATACGTGCAAATGGAAATGGCCGCAATGGACTCAGCACGACACCCAATGTGCCTGAAGAACGGGACGGCTGATGAGATGGCGGTGGAGTAAGCTTTGCGTCTCATCAGAGATGTTGTTGTTGTGGTTACATGCACTCGACTAAGGAATCGGCCTCGAAGTCCTCTTCCAGCGACAAGACCCCTGCAGCAGTCATCAATGAAACTGAACTTGACTCTTGTGTTTTCTTCACTCCGTTTCTTTTTTCCAGCTCTGCAACTGAGACTCTGACTCCGTTCTCTATTTCGGTTGAGCAGTTGTGTAGTTACATCTAGTATATTCGTATATTCATTACATTTACTGTTGTGTTTAACTTTTTATAGGTTTAGTCACATCAACATCTCCTAGTTGTTCATTCGTATCACCAGATTCACTGCTGCAGGTGTGAATCTGCGGCTCTGCAGCACCCCCTTCTTAACGTGACAGCAGGACTTCCCATGTAAGGAAGGTCCGCTCACCTGTTCGTCACATCATTATTTCCTCGCCATGATCTTTTATCATCCCATCATCCTCCAGTCATCCAACTGGAACCAGTTAGTGTTCCTGATCATTCTCAGAATATGCCACGCCTGCTCTGGTGTAGTACATTTAAGTCCTAGATCATATTTGTGCCTGTTCTACTGTCATTACTGTCTACGCGCTCGGGAACCACCAAATGGTTCCCGAGCGTGGCTGTGTCTGCAGCTCACCGCTCCCCCAGGGGATGGGTCAAATGCGGAGAACAAATTTCGCACACACATCAGTGTGTGCGACAACTGATGGGACTTTAACTTTAACTTTATTTTGAAGGATTATTATTTATATGTGTTTTTACTACATTATGAGTAGAAATGCTAATAAAAACTCCCAGTTATACAAACAAGTGAAACTGTCATTCAACTAGACAGAGAGACTATTTAAAGGCTCAGGAACCCTTTGCAGGCGTTTTCTATTTGTAATTATAAATTTTTGTTGATTTGGGTCTTGTTTAATATCACACAGTGACATTTGATTAATTAAAATGCATTTTTTATTAAAAGCTTTAGTTTTACAGTAATAACTATGTCTAATGTTTAATTCTCTGTTTCATAATTTTAATTAAGTTTTGTTTTGAAAGCACATTTTCCTGAACGATTAAAATGCACTTAATTTAGATTAATTAATTACAAAGCCTCAAATTAACTAGATTAAAATTTGTAATCAAGTCCCAGCCCTAATTTTTATATACACTGCTATTTTTTCTTGTAATTGTTAATTGCATACTCCTTTATTCCATATCATATCAGTGTTATTCATATATTAAAACTGTCAACTGCACACTCATTTGGCATAATAAAAGTTTGACAATTATTCATTTGTTCTTTGTCATATTTCAGTAACATTTATAATTAAGCAAGTTGTAATTAAACAAATTAAACAAATGACTGCAACATTTCCCCCTGTTAAGTGCAGTAGACTGAAATGAATAGCTTTATTTGGAAATATAACATATCTAATTTTTAATGGGCTTATATAAAATCTTTCTTCAACATAGACCCCACTAATGAACTGAGTAAGTGTTATTTTTTTATAAAAAGAAGAGAGAAAATGCACAAAAGTATGAAAGGAAAAGAAAGTGATGAAATAATAGGTTTTGTTAAATGTTCTTCAGATAATGAATTAATTGACAAAGTTTTTGCAGGGTGTGACAAAAAATGTTCAAGGTCAAGCTCCTGGGGCTAAGCCCTCCCATCTCTCAATCCTAGTGACGTCCATGACAAGGGCTGATTTCTCTTTAAGGGTTTTGGGGGAAGCTGTAGCTGCTATTCTCAGGTTAGTTACTCAGTTAAGTTTATTTATGTAGCACCAAGGTAAACAGCAGTCATCTCAAAAAGCAAACACTGCAGTTGAACCTTTCATATTAAACCGTGTCCTGAGTTCACTTCATTATTCTAATTAGTTATAATTTTCCTATCTAAGGAAACCCAGCAGATCTCATCGAGTCACTGACTTGTATCAGTGATTTTACAGCAGTCCCTCCTACTGAGCAAGAAGGTCTTGTCCATCACAGTGACTCACTTACAGCTAGGGATAATTTAGTCAGCGATTGACCTAAGCGTGTTTTTGGTGTGTTTTTGGCATGTGGGGGGAACCCGAGCACCGGGAGAAAACCCACGCATTCATGGGGAGAACATGCTAACTCCACGCAGAAAGGAAGCTGATCCGATTTGAACCAGTGACCTTTCTGTGAGGCAACAGTGCTAGCCACTGTACCACCATGATGCCCCGTTTTTTTCCTTCTGTGTGTGTTGGGGGGGCTTGTTTATTTATCTTTTTTTTTATCTAAACAGGGTCTTTGGGGAGGCAGTGGCTGGTTTAACTTCTCAGATTCATCCTGGATAGTGCTGCCCGATAGGATGTCTTCTAATTAGCCTTTTCTGATTAGTTAGGAGGGAGGTTAGTTGCTAGGTTGTCTGTTTTTGTACTGACGGAGACATCCCGGTGTTACAGCTTTCTTGAAACGCCTCCACACAGAAACTTTATCCAGTTTTTTTGTGTCTGAGTGTGGAGCGTCTCTCTGGGACTCGAGGCTTTCTGCTGGAGAGTCGTTTTCAGCAGGAACACTCTTGTTTCCTTCTGCAGCGTCCACGTTCTGCTCACTGATCGCATCTGTTTGCTGATCTGGGTTAAAACATTCAGTCTTTTGTTTTAAGATCTGATTTTGACTTTCCAGATTTGTGGTCAGTGACTCGAGTTTAGAGGCTTGTTCCTTCAGGATTCCCAACTCTTCCTCATGCTGCTTTTTTCTTCTAAACAGATCTAACTGGAGGTTAATGACGACTTTACAGAGTTTCGATTCTTTTTCCTCCATCTGTTCTGGTTTGGCCATCAAATCTTCATGACTTGCACTGACCACGTCTCTGTTTTGGGCAAGCTCAGTCTCCAAACCAAGTCTGATCTTCTGCTCGCCTCTAAGCTGGTTTTCCAGGCTCTCACACAGGCCAGATGTTTCCTGGAGTTGCTGGGAAAGCTGGAGTTTGAGCTTCTGTTCGATGGTGAAACCTGTTTCCAGGTTTTCACAGATGACAGATTTATCCTGGAGTTGATGTTTGACTCTCTCCAGCTGTTCAGCCAACTCCTTGTGAGAAGCAGCGTTCTCAGAGGTCAGGTTTTCCACGACCACTCTGAGTTCGGAGTTGCTCTGTGTCAGATCTTTGATCTGCTCTTTAAGATCTGAGTTCTCACAGGCTATCGCCCTGTTAGAGTCCAGCTGAGCCTCGTAGCTAACTCTGAGCTGCTTCTCCATGTCCAGACTGCTGCTAAGTTCTTCACAGATGGACATTTTTTCATGGAGCAGCTGCTTAAACTTCTGCAGATTCTTACACATCTGTTCTGATTTAGTTTCTACAGCCTGACACCTTCTCAGCATCTGACTGAGCTCCAAGTTCTTCTGTTTCAGGTCGTTGATCTCCTTCTTGAGATTTCCGTTCACTGAACTCATTTGATCTTTAGTTTTTTTGAGTTCTTCCTCACAGGTCAGGCGGAGCTCGTTTTCTTTGTTCAAACGTTTCTCTAAATCTTCACAGATTTCATTCTTCTGTTTGAGCTGATGCCTAAAAGTTTTTCGCTCTTCCAGAAGTTTCATGTCTCTGTTCTTCAGATCCGTTTTAACGTTGTCCAGCATCTCAGAGAGGTCACCGTTCCTTTTCTTAAGATCTTTCATTTCCTTCTTATAGTTCTCGTTAACTTTATGCTGGGCGTCCTTCTGCTCCTGGACACTAACGAGTCTGGACCGACGTTCTTGATCTAAATCTGTTTGCAGATTTTCGATGAAAACGTCCTTTTCTGAAAGCTGCTCCTTTAAATTCTCCAGCTTGTCAGTCAACTTCTGTTCTACACTGATTTTCTCATCTTTTTCTCTGCTAAACATCGCTTCTAAGTCCAAATGTCGTTCCTCCAGTTTTTCAAAGTTCTCGATCAGATCGTTTCTCGAGACTCCAGAAAAACGAGACTCGTCTGTCTCACCTTTTAGATCTGAGCAGATTTTTTGTAAATCTTCATTCACGTTTTTCTGCTCCTGTAACTGCTTTTCTAAAGCCACCAGCTTTTGTTGCTGCTGAACCAAACCGTTCTCCATCTCTTTAGTTTGCTCCTTGTAAAGCGCACACTGGTTCTCTGCAGCAAGCCTCTTCTCCTTCTCCTGATTGAAACAAGTATTTGTATTCTGCAGTTTTTCTTTCAAATGATCCACTTGTTTCAAAAGGTCACAGGCGACAGATTTATCCTGGAGTTGATGTTTGATGCTCTCCTGCTGCTCAACCAACTCCTGGTGAGAAGCAGCGTTCTCAGCTGTCAGGTTTTCCACGACCACGCTGAGTTCAGAGATGCTCTGAGTCAGATCTTTGATCTGCTCTTTAAGATCTGAGTTCTCACAGGCTATCGCCCTGTTAGAGTCCAGCTGAGCCTCGTAGCTAACTCTGAGCTGCTTCTCCATGTCCAGACTGCTGCTAAGTTCTTCACAGATGGACATTTTTTCATGGAGCAGCTGCTTAAACTTCTGCAGATCCTCACACATCTGTTCTGATTTAGTTTCTACAGCCTGACCACTTCTCAGCGTCTGACTGAGCTCCACGTTGTTCTGTTTCAGGTTGTTGATCTTCTTCTTGAGATTTCCGTTCATTGAACTCATTTGATCTTTAGTTTTTTTGAGTTCTTCCTCACAGGTCAGGCGGAGCTTGTTTTCTTTGTTCAAACGTTTGTTTAAATCTTCACAGATTAGCTTCTTCTGTTTGAGCTGATGTCTAAAAGATTTTCGCTCTTCCAGAAGTTTCATGTCTCTGTTCTTCAGATCCGTTTTAACGTTGTCCAGCATCTCAGAGAGGTCACCGTTCCTTTTCTTAAGATCTTTCATTTCCTTCTTATAGTTCTCGTTAACTTTATGCTGGGCGTCCTTCTGCTCCTGGACACTAACGAGTCTGGACCGACGTTCTTGATCTAAATCTGTTTGCAGATTTTTGATGAAAACGTCCTTTTCTGAAAGCTGCTCCTTTAAATTCTCCAACTCGTCAAGAAACTTCTTTTCTGCATTGATTTTCTCATCTTTTTCTCTGCTAAACATCGCTTCTAAGCCTAAATGTTGTTCCTCCAGCTTTTCAAAGTTCTCGATCAGATCGTTTCTCGAGACTCCAGAAAAACGGGACTCGTCTGTCTCACCTTTTAGATCTGAGCAGATTTTTTGTAAGTCTTCATTCACGTTTTTCTGCTCCTGTAACTGCTTTTCTAAAGCCACCAGCTTGTGTTGCTGTTGAACCAAACCGTTCTCCATCTCTTTAGTTTGCTCCTTGTAAAGCGCACACTGGTTCTCTGCAGCAAGCCTCTTCTCCTTCTCCTGATTGAAACAAGTATTTGTATTCTGCAGTTTTTCTTTCAAATGATCCCCTTGTTTCAAAACGTCATCAGTTTGCCTGCTTTTAAAATCAACTAATTCCTGCTGAACCGTCTGAGGTCTAGGGACAACCGTCTCAGATCCAGAGATTTCCAGTTCAGCAGATAAATGAGTCTCATTAGGAAGAGACTCTTTCTCAGCATCAAAGACAGATGTTTGTTCTGGCATCTCAGACTCCATCTCTTTAATTGTAGACAGTAGATCTGACTTTTTGTACTCACCGTAACAACTAAAGTCGATGAGTTCAGCGAAAGTAAGGGGTTGTTGTGGCTTTCTTGGGCGTTTAAAACCAGCTAATTCCCGCTGAAACATCTGAGATCTAGGGACCATGGTCTCAGAATCAGAGTCGACCGTCTCAGATCCAGGGAACTCAAGTTCAGCAGGTAATTTAGTCTCATACTGAAGAGACTCTACCTCAGCATCAAAGACGGATGTATGTTCTGTTTCATCAAACATATCATTTTCCATGTCTGACTCATAATCCATTTCTTCTGGGTGTAGACGTGAGTCGTACCACAACATGTTTCTTCTGTTCATGATTTGAGTGACAAAAAGGGTTTGGTCAAACTTACTTGGGTGTCTAAAGACAGTGGTGTGTTCTCAGCAGTAGCTCTGAAAAGACTGAAGTGCTGCTGCTGCTGATGGGCCTTTTATAGTCTCGGAATGTACCAAGTTAGAACCCTCCTTTATGATGTCACACACAGATTCTTCTATTGTGTTTGTTAGTGTTATAATTATTAGTATTAGTATTGTAATTGTTATTATTATTAATAATAATATTAATAATAATTGTAATTATATTAGTATTAATATTAATATTAATAAAAACACTTTAATTAATGGAATCTTCCAGATTAAAGGCCTCCTTTATGATGTCACACACAGACTCTTCTATTGTGTTTGTAAGAGTTAATATTATCATCATCATCATTATTATTATTATTATTATTATTAGTAGTAGTAGTAGTAGTAGTATCGTTATTATTAATAATAATAGTAATATAGTATTAATATTAATAAAAACACTTTAATTAATGGAATCTTCCAGATTAAAGGCCTCCTTTATGATGTCACACACAGACTCTTCTATTGTGTTTGTAAGAGTTAATATTATCATCATCATCATTATTATTATTATTATTATTATTAGTAGTAGTAGTAGTAGTAGTAGTAGTATCGTTATTATTAATAATAATAGTAATATAGTATTAATATTAATAAAAACACTTTAATTAATGGAATCTTCCAGATTAAAGGCCTCCTTTATGATGTCACACACAGACTGTTCTATTGTGTTTGTTATTGTTATCATTGTTATCATCATTATTATTATTATTATTATTAGTAGTAGTAGTAGTAGTAGTAGTAGTATCGTTATTATTAATAATAATAGTAATATAGTATTAATATTAATAAAAACACTTTAATTAATGGAATCTTCCAGATTAAAGGCCTCCTTTATGATGTCACACACAGACTCTTCTATTGTGTTTGTAAGAGTTAATATTATCATCATCATAATAATTATTATTATTATTATTATTAGTAGTAGTAATAGTAGTAGTAGTATCGTTATTATTAATAATAATATTAATATAGTATTAATATTAATAAAAACACTTTAATTAATGGAATCTTCCAGATTAAAGGCCTCCTTTATGATGTCACACACAGACTGTTCTATTGTGTTTGTTATTGTTATCATTGTTATCATCATTGTTATTATTATTATTAGTAGTAGTATTGCTATTATTGTTATTTGTAGTAGTAATAATAATAGTAATAATATTAGTATTGATATTAATATTAATAAAACACTTTAATTAATGGAATCTTCCAGATTAAAGGCCTCCTTTATGATGTCACACACAGACTCTTCTATTGTGTTTGTAATTATTATTATTATTATATTAATAAATAAAAACTTTAATTAATGGAATCTTCTAGAACTGGGTAGACACAATAGCTAAGTATTGTGTGACATCATAAAGGAGGGTTTCAGTCCAGAGACTATAAAAGGCCCACAAACAGCACTACTTCAGTCTTGTCAGTATTAACATTAATATTATTGATACCATTAATATTAATATCAATTAATAATAATTGTTATTAATATCAATTAATATAAATATGAATTAATATTAATGGTTCAATTTGTACCATGTACCATTAATATTAATTAATATCAAGTAATATTAATTGTTATTCATATAAATTAATATAAATTAATATGCATTAATATGAATGGTTCAATCTACCATTAATATTAATTGATATTAATATCAATTAATATTAATAGTTATTAATATGAATTAATATGAATTAATATTAATGGTTCAATCTACCATTAATATTAATATTAACATTAATTATTATTAATGGTGCCATGTACCATTAATATTAATATTAACATTAATTATTATGAATGGTGCCATGTACCATTAATATTAATTAATATTAATATCAATTAATATTAATTGTTATTAATATCAATTAATATTAAGTAATGTGAATTAATATTAATGGTTCAATCTACCACTAATATTAATTAATAATATGAATTAAATAAGGGTCTTTCTGCTTTGCCAGATGAAGAAGGGATTACCTGAATGCGTCTCTATTATCACTAAGAAATTATCAAGTTAACGTTCTTGCGGGCCACATAAATGAGATTTTGTTTATGATAAAAAAATTGCAAATATTATTTTATCACAGTTTTATTTTTTTCATTTTACTTCTCATATTTCTGATTTTTAAAAATAAACATAAAAAGTGTCATAAAAATGTTAAAAGTGTTAAAAGTGTTGATAAACATTAACAGGTCTATGGAGAGAAATGATTGTAGAAATGCAAGAGAGACCTGCACACAATCATCCTGAGGACCATAGATGGCCCGGGCCATACTTTGACATGCCTGTTAGCATCTTTGTGTGTGTGTGTGTGGACAATAAGTTTATTTATTTAGGACAGTGCATGTTAATGAACATAAATGTAAAAGCAGCTTACATGAATGTAAACATGCCAGATTATAGCCAAAGGCTAATTTCCATCTGTTGTCCTTAGACATAAAAAGACATAATAATTCATAAAAATTCATCATTCATTCACAATAAAAACTCCATCACCAAACTTACACATACACACCATTCTATTCACAAATAAAACATTAAAACTATACAACTCATACATGATCACACACTTGATTTGTCCATAACCAGTTTTTAACCTTTGCCTTAAACAAACTGAAAGTTGAGCATTCTCTAATGGACTGAGGAAGACTGTTACACAGATGGCAACACTTGACAGAGAGGACGTTCTGCCCAAAAGCTATCTGTCTATGTGGTATAAACATGTCTCCTCAAATTGTAGCTCGTGTAGTCCTGTTTGAGCTTTCTTTATGCCTAATGAACTGCTTTAGTGGTGGTGGAGCAAGGGAGTGTAAGACTTTATATATTAAACAGACTCTTTTAAGTTTCATTAAGTTATTGAAGTTCAGTAATTTATGTTTTTTTAACACATGACAATGGTGGTGGGAAGTCGGTTTTTTGTCAAGTAATTTTAAACTTCTTTTATAAATGTTTGCAATAGTTTTAAGTGTTGGACAAGCAAGTGACCAGGATGTCAAACAATAGTCCATATGAGAGATGATCATTGAGTAAAAATAAGTTTTTGCAACATTCATATTTAGATTATTACGCATGAGTATAATTTTGATTATGAAATTTAAGTACCTGGGACACTTTGATTATATGACTCTTGAAGGATAATGTAGGGTCTAGAATGACCCCAAGGTATTTAAATTCTGGTACTAGATCAAGCTCTATTCCATCCAGGAATACATTTGACTGCTTCAAGTTTAAGGGGCGTTTTAAAAAATCATCATCCGCATACATTTGAGCAAATATATTTGGACAGACTTCAGGTAAGTTATTAATAAAAAGCGAGAACAATAAAGGCCCAAGAACAGATCCTTGAGGAACTCCTGTATCACAGTCTAAATATGGAGATTTAACCCCATCTCACACCACACACTGTTTCCTGTGTGAGAGATATGAGGCAAACCACTGAAGCGCCTGACTGGAGATATTAAACTGAGTCAATCTGGACAACAATATCTGATGGTTTACAGAGTCGAAAGCCTTCTTCAGATCTAAAAATACAGCTCCAACACAGCAACTCTTGTCCAGCAAGCTCTTGACGTTCTCCACTAACATACACAGGGCAGTATCTGTGGAATGATGTGCCCGAAAGCCAAACTGCAATGGATGTAATGAGAGATGGGTGTTTTCTAGGTGAGCAGTGAGGAGTTTAACCACCCACTTCTCAGCTATTTTAGATACGACCGGGAGTGTCACCTAAAAACCTGAAAACAAGGCGAATATTCATTCTTTCTAGGTGAAACCTTACTTGTGTCAGCCTTTAGAAATCAGATTTGCTTATCATACTGGCAAAACATGCTAATAAATCAGATTTGTGTGGTGACGGTGGCACTGGAGTAAAGTGCTCGCCCCGTAATCGGAAGCTTGCAGGTTCGAGCCCCGCTCAGTTTGTCGCTGTCATTGTGTCTTTGGGCAAGACACTTAACCCCCCTTGCCTAATTACTGGTGGTGGTCAGAGGGACCGGCGGCACCTGCGCTCCTTGCCTCTGTCAGTCAGGGCAGCTGTGGCTACTTTGTAACTCATCCCCACCAGGGTCAGATTGGTCACTGCAGACGCTGAACCAATCCGCCAGTTGATCTCCCGATCCCTCCTACCCTCACTCGAGAACAAGACCCCGAGACACTTAAACTCCTCCACTTGAGGTAGGACCTCTGCCCTGACCCGGAGTTGGCAAGCCACCCTTTTCCAGTCGAGAGCCATGGTCTCAGATTTGGAGGTGCTGATCCTCATCCCAGCTGATATGTTAAGGGCATAATTACTTGTAACTCAAATAATGTAATGTATTTGTTAAAAGGCCCCTGTGATAAAGTCTATATTGGTAAAACAAGACCACTCAAACAGAGGATCAGTGAACATATGAGTTCAATTGGAAGAAAATACTTGACTTATCCAGTAACACGCCATTTCAATGACTCTTCACACCCTATGTCTTCACTCAGATTCCAGGGGATTGAACATATTTCATTACATAGAGGAGGTGATATAGATAAAAAAAACTCTGCCAAAGGGAACTGTTCTGGATCTACACGTTGAAAACACTTCAACCACTAGGTTTAAATGAGGATTTTGAAATGTCTGTGTTTCTTTAACCCTCCCACTGTCTTCATGGGCGACCCCGTGAGGAAAGTTGACCATGGAGCAGGATTGATGGTTTATCCCTTGAGGTCCACGTGGCAGGGGTGAGGTGGTGCTCACTCATCACCCCTGCCACAAGTTGGTTTTAACCAGACGTTAGCCTGTTGCCTCTTACTAACCTCTGCTCTTCCTCGCAGAAGCTTCTGGTTCCTGATCTCCAGCAGTTACCTCTTCAGGCATCCGTCAAACATTTTAATAAACTGTTTTTAGCTCATTTATCTCCTGAGTTTCTCTGCATGAAGGTCAGGTTATTGCAAAAATCATGACATTAGCAATTGCACCACTCTGTTAAACAGCTGATATTAATTTTAAGTGTATCTTTGAAAATACATTGAACATCAAAGTGAATGAAAGGCATCCATT